TGCAGCGTCAACGGCGTTGACACCTTCACATGCAACATGCAGAAAAGCATGATTTCGTCACCATGCAAAAGGAATATGAGACGACATTGCCTATGTGCATAGGCGAGCGACTCACGAGCCCTGTGTTTCAGATGCCGCGAGAAGGGCCGTGCGCTGATTCGAGAACCTGGGATCGTCGCGAAGGAAGATAAACTACGAACTCTCGGCTCGAGACGAGACTTCATCGATCGTCGATACTTAGAAGAGGGTGAAAGATAACAATGGGATTTTGAGCGAGATTTCTATGACAGAGAGATCGAATTGGTGTGGAAGGAGAAAAGGGATGTCGGTGGAGACAGTGATCTAAGGCCTGCATGCCGCTTATCGCGTACCTGCATCTTGCGACCCATTTTCACGCGTCGCCTTCCTTTGTCGGAACCAGGACGTCAGCAACACAACCCGGCGCTCTTGGTAGCGGTATAGTGGCATCAAATTCCGAGCAATCTTGTCGACATTCGATGATGTGCACACAATCTTAAGTAGCGGAGCGCAAGATGTTACTCCAAAAGACTAAGCGTTCGATGATGGAAGCTCCACGTCCAAAGTCCAGTCTACCGTAGCGGTGCACTACGCCACCGTGCCATTGGAACCGTCGACGGCATCTTCCCCATCCGCACGCCAAGGGGACATACTTTCGTCTAACGCAGGGTCGGTATCCGGTGCCGCACGAAGAACGCATGTCCCCCAAAGCGTTCGCTGTGCAAACAGAAAAGCAATTTAACAAGGCTGTCAGCAAGCGTGATGCGTGAGGGCAGAGGGAGGAGAAGTCAGCAAAAGCCGTTGTGGTGTTCCATCGGGTACAACATCCCTACACAAGCAAGAGAAAAAGGTCTGGATTGCCAGGCGCAGGGGCTGCCAAAACAGCCCTGACACAGCTCCGCAGGCCGCCTGATTGGGCCCGCGACAAGAAATCGCACCGTCGCATTGCGCAGAGCAAAGAAAAGCAAGGCCGCCTCCCACCATCCATCTCCACAGCTGTGCCAGCACGCCGCTTAGCTAACGCTAAAGGACCGCAAGTTCGGCGCCATCCCAAACTCTAACTGCAACCTAACCCTCCTTCCGAGGCACATTGCACACCTATGCGAAGCTCTCGCTGCGCATCCGTCGCCCGTAACTCGACGAGATACACCCCTCTAGAGTACGTAGGTGCGATCGCAGGCGCAGTAGATCAAGGAAACCAACAGCGCCCAGGGAGGGGTACTGGGGAAGATAGTCAACTGCATACCAAGGCTCTGCGACAAACCGCGGCAATCCCTGGGGACGATCACCGGGTAACTCCAATGTTAATCTCCACGAGTCTATTGCTGCGTTAGGGAGCAGGCTTGGACCAAGGTTTTGGTTGCTAGAATCTTATTCAGTACATAGACCCCCTCTCCGTCCCATCGTTTTTGTCGCTCAACCCTGTTCCATCTCACTTCGACATTCCCTCACTCCAGTCCGTCTTTCACATATCGAATACCATCACCAATACATATTATACCATATAATTAAGATGCGTTTCCAGGCTACCGTCCTCGCCGTCGCGGCTTCGCTCGCTTTCGTTGGTGCTCAGGATTTGAGCGGTATCCCCCAGTGCGCTGTATGTTGCCCTTCCTCTCCTGTCCCCGATCGGATCGGACTTTGGAGCCCACATCTCCACAAGACGATCGCGATCGCGATATGGGCACATCGCATGTAGCATCACCAACTAACACAACAATCAACAGATCCCCTGCTTCGTCGCTGCCCTCCCCAGCTCCAACTGCGGTGTCACAGACACAAACTGCCAGTGCACCAGCGGCCGCTCTGCCATTGAGAACTCGCTCCTCACTTGCGCACCCGAGCGATGCGAGCAGAGTGAAATCTCCAGTACGTTTTGCATACCCTACATACCTATCATCTTCGTCCATATCTAACGCGACTACTAGGCCTTGCCCCCGCTGTCTCCTCCCTCTGCGCCGCCGCCGGTGTAACCCTCTCCGACATCCCCACTGCCGTTCCCTCATCTGGCGCTTCCATGACTGGCTCAATGATGTCCAGCATGATGAGCGGATCCCCCACCATGAGCGGCTCCATGTCGCCCACCAGCTCTGGTGTCGCTGAGCAGACTGAGAACGCTGCTGCTGGCAAGCTTGCTAGCTACGGTGTTGTTGCCATGGGTATGGCTGCCGTCTTCGGATTGTAGATGTCGGATACCTGGAGTGGTTGATACGAAGGGCGCGCCGGTTGTTTAGGAATTTGTAATGCGACAATCGCTTGTATATCGCAATTGATACCGTATCGTTCATTTCAATCGCTGAGTGCTTGACACCGTGCGCGAGTGGTTGGTGATGTTGAGATGGTTGCGCGCTTTATTCCTTTGTTCACGCAGCTTTGAGTGCGCTCGCCCATTTGCCAGACCATGCCGTGAACTCATCATCTTCTCCAGTCCAGCTTTGCCTGACCAGCTCGATTGCGCTGTCTGCTTCACCACAGCATTTAGACAAAGTTTCTTTCGCTTCGTCATCGTCGAGATCGTAGAAAGCGCCTGCGATGTCGTCGACCGTCTCGGGTATCGTCTTGAGGGTGTTCACGAGTGCGTCCAGCTTCTTGCAGGGTGGCAATGCCGTGCCGTTCGTTGACGCAGTCGGTTCGAGTGTCGACGACGCAGGATACGTCTTCAACCTCCTCTTGATCAGGGCTTGGTACAGCATACCAATCATCTTCAGCTTCTTAACACTGGTATCTAGCAGTTCCTTCAGCTCCTTGTTGTCCTTGCCAATCTTGTTCGATGCGCCGAAGATCTCGTCTTCGTCGTCGCTGCCTTCTGCTTCGTCATCGTCGTCGTCCACGTCTTCGCCCCATTCTTTCAGCTCCTCGATCGCATCGAGTAGGACTGCGCGGTACTCTTGCGCTTTCTTGACTACGAGTCCTACAACGCCGTCTTCGCATAGCTTTAGCAGCGCGTCGCATACATCCCATAGTACACCAGTCGAGGACAAGACTTCTTGCTTCTCGCTCTCAGTCGGGCCGGTGTCTTTACCCTTCGCGCTCTGTCGGGTTTCCGCCATCTTCAAGATCATGGTGAGAACTTCTCCCCATGTTCCCAACAGCCTCCGGACTTGCGCCTTAACTTCTGTGCGCATTATGTCTCCGATGTCACCCTTTTGACCCTCTTGTGGTATGTATGACGCTGCAGTCACCATGCTGTTCAGTGGACCCGAGGTCACATCGCCAATTTTCGCTATTATCGCGGAGGGTGTGAGGGGCGGGTTGATGAGGAGGAGCGAGAGCGTCGTCGTATGCGATTTGAGGAGCTTAGTCGAGGCTCTGATAACATCGAGAGGATCTGCTATCTCCGTTTCGGGCGTAGGAGCGACATCTTTGATGGGCGCGAGAGAGGATTGGTAGTGTGTGAGCAGCGCTTGCGTGGTTTTGGTGAGGTCAATGAGACTGCGCAGATCTTTTGGTTTCGACATTGTGCCCTCCTTATTGGGAAGAATTCAAGAGTGTTATAGTCTTGGAGGCCGAGAATATGTGCGCAGTTCACGAGCCAAAGTTTGGACAGTATCAAAATTTTGGTGGGGCAGTGACTCTTAGCGGGGTACGTAGGTACATAGCTCCGTCATACCCGTAACACAGCGGACATACTCCGCAGATGCAGATGACTGTGTCCATCCCCTTGCCGCGACACCATTCCGATATACTGATATCTCGTTCTGTCCAGAAGCTCATGAGATCTTAGTCGATGTGCTGGGTCCACCCTTCTTATACCATGGGCAGTCCAGTCCGGACCCCCACGATTTGGAAGGCGAAGTCGAGGCAGTGAACCTCAGCAGACCTCGTATATGCTGCATCTCAGACACGACTAAACGAGGAAATGTGCCGCTGATGCATATATTCACATGTATGTGAGAGTCTGCCCCGACATTTGCTGAGGTCACAATGGCGTTCGTCTCCGCCCTCGTGCTGCTCACATTGAGCCTCGCCAATGGGGCTCGCGCACTAGGCAATGAAGGCTGCGAGGCGCAGTCGATGCAGTTCACCGGTTCTGCAGGTTCGACCATTCAAAACTTACTACATGTCATATCATACTCTCGTGTTGCAGGTGCATGCATTACGGTATGTTGAGCAATTACGCCTAGCTCAGCCATTCGTCAATTGGACCCGAGCGATATCGACAGCCTCGCAACATGAAGCTGGAGGACTCGCGATGAATTCCGTGAAGCAGAGCCTCACGTACTGGTGCAGTCCAGCCTGATGGTATATCTGGCAATCGCGAATGCGCGAAGGACTTAGGTCCCTAAAGTGCACCTCAGGAATGTCACAGACCTCACCGGTATAGCCTTTTCTATCCGTTTACTCCAATACCAATCGTACCCTAGCACTCTCATCCGCCCATCGTACACCTCCTACGCAATGTCTTACGTCGAGGATACTTTTCCGGTCTATCGTCTTGATCAGGCAGATTTGCAGAAATACCTGAGCGAGCTGCACGGTTCGAGTGACTTCTACATTCAAGTAGGAAATCCTGAAATTTGTGTCGATATGTGCTGAGAATAGTGTGCAGGTCATCAATGATACGTACAAGTTCCGAATTCCGAAGAAGTTGGATGCGGTATGAATTATTATGTGATCAGTAATTGTACATATTCTGACCTTGAGGCAGAATCAGCGAAGAACGCTTGCAGGTCGACGGTGGGAAGATGATTGACAAGAAATGCTGGCAATGATCTTGTGGGGGCGGGCTGCATGATAGTCTGCCGCGGGGCTAGCTAGACAGGATGTCGTGGCGATGAGGGCAACACCGGACTTGGAACTCGGTGCTGCGGTCATGTCTAGTGCTGTTATATAACTTGGTTTACCCAATTTTGTTAGTGAGGCACTTTTCAGTTTCATTACTGACCTTCGATGCAATTGCAATGGATCAATTCGTTTCATCATGCAAGGAGTTCCGACGCTATCCTCAGAATCTCACACAACGATGTACCCTTAGCCATAGTATGGCTGGATACGCATCTCGGTTGCAATCACAATCCGAGTTTCTGTTCAAAGATGAGAAGGTAGCTGTGGACTTCCTCGATTATCGCGAACTGGACAATCGTAAGCACTCTATTACTGGCCAATCTTCGACGTACTGACCCCACTCAAGGCTTCAGCTCAGCATGCGTCAAAAACCAACGAGAGTTGGAACTCATACTTAGCTGTAGACACTCATTAACACCTGAGGCTGCCGATCCGAGATGTCGTTTCATGTTAGTTGGCTTTTTCTTTTTCCAGAGACTCAGCTGATGATGACAGATTCTTGACAGCTGGCCATGCTCGGGCACCATTGAAGATCACGCACGACATGTTCAGCTTTCTGTGTACAATCTATCAGGTCTCTCCTTCCTTTCTAGATTTCGTATTTCCTTTTGGGCTGAAGGAAGAAGCACAAGACTTTCACTTCAGTGGCTTGAAAGCAGAGTACCGGTTAGCGTCTTATGACAGGGCGTGTGTGCTACCAGACCTAGGCCGCTCGGGCAGAGATCTTCGCTTCAGCTATAATCTGAGATCCGTGGAACCGACGCCACCTCGATCAAAAGAACCTTGGTCCATCCGCCAGTGCGCTGTATACCATACCTTCGACGTGGAAAATGGGAAAATGCTCTGGATCATCGTCAAGGCAAACAAAGAAATCCAAAAGCGTGTGACTGAAGTGTCTGACGAGTCAACACAAAGCGGCAATCCCCTCGAGTGTCGCAGTAATGCGTTTGCGGCCGCACTACAAACACATCTGTTGTTGTGCAATTGGTCCGGAGAGAACTGGCGGTGGTATATTAATTATCTCGAAGATAAATTGCAAGCTTTGACAAGAGGTGTATCGGCCCTCGAGGTCGAGAGGAAGCCATCCCCGCTGTCATCGCCAAGGATCACGAGCCCAAAAACCAGCGTAGGCCCGTTTGCCAGCTTGTCACGATCTCACACATTGCGTCCGATTCTGACAGGACAAGCCTGGACACGGTCAAATACACTGCGAGAAAGCCCACAGACGTATACACGCACCAATACGACTACCTTTGATAACCAGCCTTGCAGTGTTTGGGCGTCAGCACAGAGAGCAAGCACTTCGCCCGATGCGAAACGTTGGAAATCGGCCGTGAACGATCTTCGCAGATTGTTAACACGGCCTTTACGATCTGATACAGTCAACAGCAGCTCAACTTTCGGAGACGAGAAGACGTTGCTAGCATCCCCTGAAACAACGGTATCGCCAGAGCTACCCTCTGTGTCTTCCGATGGCGGAGCAGACAAGGATGACAAGTTCACTTTCAAGAACCTTCAAGCTATACAACATATTGAGGAGAAGGCACAGGAAGCCATGCTTGTGCTAAAGCTGAACACTGAAGTTCTTGAGCAACTGAGGTTACACTACGACGAAGTTGCAGAGCATGCCGAGTTTCCTCAAGAATTGAAGGATGGCTGCAAGGCTAATCTCCATCGGTTCAACAAGGGTATAATTGGAGTAGAGAAAGATATGCACATGCTGCAGTCAAGAACCGAGACGCTGCTGCACCTTCTGGCTAATCGGAAGAACTTAGTAAGTACCCATACTCTCTCGCATCATCATACGGTTAGGGTGATAGTCGGATGCACCAAAGCTACATATATCGAAGCGAGAGACTGAGCATATGCTAATGCCGTGTTCTAGATGAGCGGTATACTACAGCACCGAAGCTCCAAAGCCAGCGAGTTCTACGCTAAAGAGTCTCGAGAATCCGCGGCTCGCATGGAAATTATGACCGTGAAGATGCAAGATCTTGCCATGAAGACGAAACAAGAGACTGTCTCCATGAGGGTTATCACCACCGTGACCCTCTTCTTTCTTCCAGCAACCTTCATCGCCGTAAGTGATCGATATCATATACTGGAAACACGTACTGAAGCTATTTAGACGTTCATGAGCACTGACATTCTCAACTTCGAACATGGTAAACAAGACCTGCAAATGCAAGGCCTCCGGCTATATCTCATGATTGCTCTCCCTGCGACGGCCCTGACCTTTGTCGCGTGGTACTTCATATATTACTTCGCCAGAAGGGAAGCTCGGTCGAACGATCAGTCCGAAGCAGTTGGGGAGGCCTGATCTCTTATTGTATTGCGTGTCAGTCAGCTATGTTACATGCGTTGGCTTTTCATTCGCTATTGGTAAAAGGTGTGGTTTGAGTTTGCAATGTTGCTTTTCGGGTATGTGGGTGGTCTCTTGGGAAGTCTGATTTCTGCGGCGTCAGGCCACCAGGGCAGCAGGAATCGGAACGATGACGATGTCTTCTCTGTTGCACATTAGACTCATAGATTTCTAGACAACTTTAGATCGTGATCCTGTTTATTGAGATCTTCATGCGCTCGTATGATGAGTTTGTCTTCAGGCATAGCTCGAGATGAGAGCCGTTAGATCTGAGAGTTGATCCAATCGTCCAAAAGGATCTAGCCGGGGTTTCCAGGATCAGGATCGCTGTAGAAGCCGTCGAAACTTGCGAGCGTATCATGAAGCCTGGGCTTCGAGCCATGGTCAACAGCGGACCGATGCGTCTTGGCGGTTCCACGTTGTTCAACCTAAAAGCCAACTTCGTGTCCACAGGGCAGATCTATCCTGTCATTAAACCTCCGATTATCGATCAATCCTCATCAAAAACATATGCGCAGCCTTGAAAATCGTAGTAATTTTATCGTGGTAGGTTCGTAGACAGTAGCTGTCACAGTCGCTCAGCCGCGTAGCCGCGTGGCCGCCAACTTTCTTGTTGTCACCTCTCCTTTGTTCGCGATAACTCTTATTTCCTCTCATCACATCTCCTGCCAGAAAGTCTTTCTTTTTCTAGATGAACGATGGCACGCTCAACGAAGGACGATGATGCAGCTGATGCAGGTCCGGTCGAGTGTGGCTTGAGGCTGCGGGCGGGGTCCTGTCCTGCTCGCTTTAGCGCAGACATGGAGCAGACCCCCGAGGGCCCTGGCTTCAGCCTGCCGCGCATACTTGCAAAAGCTCCAACCTCACATTGAGCTTACGTGCAAACTTCATACCGCCTCTTTTATCCTCCCAACCCTTCCTATACCTGTCGCGATTCGCGCCGACCGAGTATACCTCATGCGCACCGTCTCCTATAGCCACGATGGGATCCGAACTTCACGATTTCCTCGAGCGCGTAAACGAATGCACATCGGTCGCGATAGCTGAGCCTATGCCACTGGTTACCCGGCCGATCGTATCGATAGATAGGCTCCGATCTTATCTTACTACGGAAAGACTGCGAAAGCTCTTGCTATATGTAGACAGCTCCACCGGCTTCGAGGATGCTGTCCGGACCAGATATTTAGCTGTGTTCGCGGTTCTACTGTCGATAAATCAGGGTATCTACCTATCGACATTCGTGCATCACGATCACATGGCAGACGCAGGGCTACCTTTTCTTACCTGCGACGCATGGCCGGAGGTTTCCAAGACCATATTCGATGAGTTCTACCAAGCACAGTGGAAGTTCTGTCCAAAACGGCTCGTTTTTGGCCAACTGCACGACACATGGCTACATCGCAATGTCGTCGTACCTATGAAGCAAAAGACACTGTTGAGAGAAGGCGTGGACGCGGTGATCTTTAAGGTGGAGTTATTCGAGGAGTACAACCATCTCATCCCAGTAGGTCAACACCGTGCGCGCGCACAAGTCCGTACATTTGACGCAACTAGCTGACTTCTTTGTGCTAAGAACGAACTAAACATCCCCCCTACCAACGTATTCATCCTGAAATCAAGCCTATCGGGCTATGCCAAATTACACAACAACGAGGTCGAAGCCTACAGAACACTACAAAGCCACCCAAGTGGTCGAGATGCGATGCAACACATGGCCCGCTTCTATGGTTCGTGGGCACAGGGTGAGACTCGTAACATACTGCGCGAATTCGTTAGTGGTGGCACACTCACGGACTTTTTCGAACGAACCGAGCCGCCGACGACCAAGGCCGATATTCTGGAGTTTTGGAAAAACTTTATACAATTCATCAAGCCAATAGCATGTATACATCACTTTCCTAATCCGCACAACCATCATTCATACAAAGTGGGGTACGTCCAAAAGCATGGGTTCTCTCTTCTCTTACTTCGGACTGACTTCCAAAGGCTACACAACGATATCAAACCGGATAACATCCTCGTATCGGAGCGGAACGGGAATAGCCCGTATAGTGTCTCCTTCAAACTCGCAGATCTTGGTCTCGCCGGGTTTGTGGTGGCTGATGACTCAGACGAGACTCAACTGCGCGATGTCCACGGTACGAAGATGTACAGTATGTCGCCACTAAGTCCTTCACTTAGCCCATACTAACTTGCTTCTAGGTGCGCCCGAATACTTTCGTGGCGAGACAGACAGGTCCAAGCAACAAAGCATCAAGCAAGCCCGTCCGGCTAAGGATATTTGGGCCTTAGCTTGTGTGATCAGTGAAGCCGCGGTATGGTCTGTATTAGGCCGAAGAGGGTTGATTGACTACCATCGCCAGCGCGTCGAAGCTGCTGAAGCCATTCCGGCTCTCAGGAACACAGGCTATAGCGGCTGCTTCCACGACACCACCAAAGTCCTCTCGGTTGTGGGAGAAACGCACAGGGAGGTCACCCAACGATGTCGAGCAGCTATAGACAACATTGTTGGGTCAGTCCTTCTTATTGTTAGCGGAATGATGATGCAAGATCCGGCCAGAAGACCAGATGCGTGGACAGTTTACGATGGTCTCACACAAGCCATAGACTTAGCGACACCAACGGCTCCCCCACCATTTCACGATACAGATCCACGGCCACCCACGCCGAACAACTACACTCGACACTCGGTGCCTGTTAATCTGTCCCCAAGCATGACGAACGGGTTGGGCTTCACTATGAATGCGAACGCGCGGCCGCTAGTCAGCGATACACGCGGGTATCAACCGGATCGTTTTCCAGAAAGACGCACAACTATCAGTGGAGATCGTTCCCCTCGTCCAGATTCTGGTTCATCGAGTACTAGACAGGGAAGGACACCGAGACGGGATGCCTACAGTCCAGCCCTCGATACTACGCATGAGATGCACTGGACTCCGCTGTCCCCTACCAACAGTGCTGTCCCACAGGCCAATGTACCTTCCGGTCGGACGGCCCGTCCTTCGGCTTCTGTCACCAGGGTCCTGAACTACATAACTAGGAAGAAGTTGGATAAGAGCACGGTCTTGCAGGGCGAAGAATGGCTGAACAAATTACATGGTAGAGATCAGGTATGCTAACATACATGAGGAACTTTTAGCAAGCTTGCTGACGAGATGTTACTAGATCTTCCTCATCGACGACTCAGAATCTATGCGACAACACTGGGATGACGTCAAAAGTACCTTCGAGGCTCTAGCGTACCTCGTCAAGGCCATGGATCCAGATGGTATCGAGTTACGATTCGCCAACAGTCGGAGATATGACAGCCGTGGGAAGGATCGCAAGGCACTCCTCAGGAATTTCGAGAAAGTCAAGCCCAGTGGCCAAAGCCAAATGGGTATTGCGCTCAGCAATATTCTCCCAGACTACTACCACAAACCGCACCAAAGCCAAGCCAGCAAGCGGTCATCCTGGTCTCCACGAGTAGAAGAAAAGCCTGCAGTTAACATTTACATCCTCACCGACGGTGTATGGTCGCCAGGTCATCATTGCCTTTCAACCATCAAAAACCACGTTACAAACCTAGTCAATCACCTGGTTGCGACCGGAAGGCTTCAACACGTCGGTATCCAGTTCATCCGCTTTGGAAACGACGAGACTGGTAAAGAGCGCCTGAATATCCTCGACAACGATGAATTGAAGCATTACAAAGTTCCTATAGATATCGTCGACACGGAGCCGTCTACTGGCAATATCTTCAAAATGCTACTTGCAAGCACTGATCCTTCCTGGGATAACGAGCCTAGCGGCTGAAGGCAGCAATGTTCAAGAGGCATCTCGCGACTCTCACAACCACGATCAAGCCTACCATCTAGGGTACTCGGGGCACTGAGCCCATGGTTTGAAGAAGGGTAGCCTTCGCAGAGTCTTTTCGACAAGCGTACATCTACAATCGAGTCTAACATTCAGATTCCCAATGATACCTGTTTGCGAGAAGCGTCATCAGTCTCGAGCATCGAAGCCAAAGGATGATTCCTTAGACTACCAAAATCTGGATCTATCAACCACTTGGCCACGCTCTGCACCCCAGGTACAGATGACCTGTACGGAGGAGTCCTTTCTCTTTTCTTTCTGGTATTTTGGAATACAGTGCATGATACCCGGTGGATTACGGCGTTTGATAATCTCTGCGTTGCAGTCAAGGTAGACGCAATAAGCTGTATGAACACACTGTTTGAGCTCAGCGGCTGGGCAGGCGAATTCTTCATGTCTATTACAAGACGGCATACGATAATGATCATTATTCAACTCGTGGATTATCATGCAGAAGTCCTTTTAAGCTAATCCATATACAGCAAACATCGTTCCCTCGATCTTTACAACTATTAACTTCGTCAGACATGCTTTCTACACTAGGCTCAGTGCACTATGATTGTCGCGCTCGCGACGAAGTATTGAGAGCATACCGCATGATTGGCAACGAGCACACCGCTCGCAAGCATCCCACTAAACAAGTAATCGAGAATTCCCAATCTACACGAGTTACGGTCAATCTAGCTGATCATCAAATTTAAGGAACGCGAATGAAGATCAAGTGTTGTGTTATTACTAATTGTGAAGAGAAGCAAACGCTGAAGCAATCCCAAACATGCATGCGTCTTTTATCCTGCGACAGAGTGCTCGGACAAATCCACTAGCAAGCTTTGGAACACTACACTATAGGTTCTGCTATCTCATTCATGAAACCTTTGAGAGGTACGATCTTGCTATCCAACACGCATATGATTTGATGGTAAACAGCAGCTTGTAGAGCAACGCTGTCAAGATTAGTTCCCACGGAGAAATCGCAATCAACACACTTCTGCGCCATATCAAGCCATTGACGACCCAGATACGATGGGGGTCGAGGTGGATATTCCAGGGTTTCCCTAGCAGTAATAATGGCATGCTGTCCGCTCGAGTTGACGTTGTATTTGTCCGTCTTGTAGCATATCTGTAATAGGGCGACCCCCAGCTTTGCCAGAGGAATGTTTGTCTTGCCAATAACCTCGTGTAATCGGAACTTTTCTTCTTTCTCGGCTTTCTCGGCTTGGCGAAGCGAAGAGGTCGTTGTTGCTAAGAACCGTGCATTGAAGTGGAGGCTCTTCGATCGCTTTTCGAAGCTGTCATGATCCTGGTGTGCCCAGGCATCGAAGTGGAAGATGTCTTCGAGATTCCAATCTTCTCCAAGCCAAGGACTTGAGTGGTATTGTAACGTTGCTATGGCTATTCGATGTGCGAGAATGAGCTGCTCGAGCTCAGACCTAAGACCTTGCAACATATTCGTCACTGGCTTCGATTCTTCGCTCATCACAGGTAGACTCTGCTGAAGGACTGCGTTCTTGCTATTGTCGTAAAAGCAGAGCCGCAATGACGCATTTGGTGACATGCACGTCGTACAACCCATGTAAGACCCTAAATGACTTGATGAACACACGTCGTCCATGTTCAGGCAAGAACGAATCCTACCACAAGCGCTCTTGTCGAGAGTGGGCTCATGAAACGCACAAGAACCACGTGCACCGGGCGGTCTCAAGGCTGGAACGACTGCCCTATGAACCATAGTCGTACTGGCTGCTGATGTGTTTGAACTTTGATGAGTGTGTGAAGATAGATCTCCGCCTATTCGCATCTTTTTAGTCGGCCTTTCGACGAGCGAACTCGCACTAGTCTCGTATGATTGTACATGCAACCATATCGGTGGCTCCGGCTCGTTATCCCTTGGTAATGTTAGTCAAAGACGCACAAAGCTTCTATGTTGCACATCCGGAGACTTTCCCTTATACTCACCGTTGTTTTGCGATTGTAGACATTGTATCAACGATTGCGATGCGTAGTCTCGCCGCTTCAACTTTTGTATGCTCTGATCCAAGAGCGAGTGATGCTCTGTATTCCTTGCACGGTATGCTGGGGCCTGGCGACAACGCGCTTTGCAGAAATCTGTGAAGCTCCCGAGAGGCACGCCGGATTTCATCGTACTCGGAGGGCACAGACTCGTAAGCTGGCCGCGGTGTACTGGCCAGCGCAGAACTAGCATCGCGAAGCTCACATCGTTGTTTACGGAGCCTTCTGATCTTCTTAAGCCATTCATCTATCTCATCGAGCAGAACTCGGTCGCTAGATTCCTTGCGTGAGATAGTGAAAGCCAACTTCGCGTCCTTTGCTCCTCTGAGGAAACCTCTAGTTTCCTCAGTGCCCGGCTCGTCGTACAACCGTTCGAGTTCGCGCTCAGCGTTATTCAGTCTGTCCTTGATCCAGATGAATGTCCTGCGAAAAGTCTCGTTATTGGAATCCAAGAATGCACAAAGGCGTGGTTCGAGTTGCGGATCCTGCCAGGCGGCGTGTTCTGGATCTACCATCATTGCGGCAAGGATCTCATTGTCGTAAACGGCGTTGCTCAGGAGTAGTTCGCACTCGTTGCGGAAGCTATCCATAGCCAAATGGTATATTAACATTAGTTCTCGTAGGACATCGTCGGCATGTGCGAACGCGCGAAATCGATCTCGCACAGTGCGGTAGGACTTGAATATCTCAACAACGAGTGGGATAACAGCAAGGGCAATGCCAGCGCCCTCCATGATTGTCGCCCAAGGAAATTTAGGACAGATGCGACACTTCAAAATGGTGGTATACGTGCATCGCTTCATGATTAAGAAGGAACTGCCCACGTCGCAATCAGCTGGTTGCAGCTGCAGGCCGCGCGCTACTACCCCCACTCTCCTTTCGAAACGTATGCCCATACGATTACTTGCCTGCCGATGTCAGCCATCTTACTAACAGTTTGGTTTTACGTAATTTCTTTGGCTATACGCACTTGCGTCAGAGAACTGCATTAGTTTAGCCTGGTATTGGGTCCAATATTTTGAGAGCCATCTAGGTTGAGCGTGCTGTTTATATCAACGCACCCAAGCGCTTTGTCGACGCCAGAGACATCTTGATTACGGTCATTTCACTTAGTGCTGCATCGTTCCATGATACACGCACGCCACAGTTGTGCTTGGCAACAGAAGATCATCATTTGGCATTGCTGTCAAGGCTGCTATTCCAAACCAAGTGAGCGCGATATATGTATCAGGCATAGACTTGGTCCTTTGAGTTCCAAAAGTCTAACATGATGACGCATTTATCTTAGAAGATAGCGCATAGATATGCGTATGTTTGATGGAAGATTTTCCACTAAGTGAGGTTCACGGCCAAACTAATCCTCGACACATGCCATCGACCACGCTTCCTCATCATCTGTCATTAAGATGCTTCCGGTCTCATATCCCTCATCTTCAGCAAAGTGCTTCAGATCTTGCGCCGACAGCGATTTTGTCTCCACTTCACCTTCCAGTCTCATCTCTTCTGTGCTCAAGAATCCTGCCCCAATCTTCAAATCGGCTTCGCCTCTCCGTTTCCAACCCGCTTTCTTGATGACATGCAGCCGATAGGCTAGAATGACATCACCGAACACAGTATACGACTCGGTGCCATCTGTGCCGGCGCTGCTATCCAGATGGGCTTGGACCGCATCCTCTTTAGTCACGTTGCCTTGTGTGCTCAACCCAACCTCGCTTTCTCTGGATTGTATGATAGAATATCTCAGACCTCTTGCAACTTTCAGGCCAGTGATGACGTAGATAGGTCGTCTCTTGAGCGCATACTGCACTTTGGGTTCCGCGTCGCATAGCGCGATTATCTCCGTCACCCGTGGGTTTCTTTCTAGCATCAATGTTTCAACATTGTTGAAGTCATACACCGTTCTCATATTCGTGCTACGTTTCCCTTTTGCCTGACTGCCAAATGCTGCACAGAGTTTAGCGGATGCGTCTAACCTTGCAGAGCCATGATCGCCACGCTTCCGTGTGCCTTCGTTTGAGCTTGCCATAGTGATGATCTCCGCGAGAGGCTCGAGTTGCGCAATGGGGTCTTGAGGACGAAACATGTCGGTGATGACGTTGCCAATCTTGATGGGACCGTTCGGTGGGTAATCAAGGCTGGGAGCTCGGATAAAAAGATTTCTGCTTTCCAAGGGTGAAGGCTCAAAAGTCATCTTATCCGATGTCTCTGTACGGTGGCGAGCCATAGGTCTCTGGTGCTCGCTTCCTCTCTTGACCGGACAAATAAGACTAGTGTCGATTATCTGAAGACAATCTATCCTCATCTGTATAGTATCACAGAGCTCTTTGCCCCGCTGGGGTTCATTGACTTGGTACATCTCCACGTCGTCTGGACTTTGCATTGTCGACCTCGCTATTTGCGTAACACTAACGATATCGCATATCTCGAAGAACTTGGCGTGCATGTTCGTCGGAAGGAGCTCGAAGAGATCTGCCTTGCAATCAGCTGTCATATCAATAGTAAAGCACTGAGATGCGCACTTCTGGTCACGAGCCCACTTATGAGAACCAAGACCAATACGACCGAGTCTTGCACCAACTTGGAATGAAGCAGTGCTTTATCGAGGCCATCGTTTGAAACAGCATGTTCGTTGCCCCACAATAGGAGAGATATCGCACTCCTTTCCAGCGATTGATAGTATGATGGCTCCGGCTTTTGTTGCCTCAGATAGCGAAGAATGAACTTTAGAGAACTCATCAGACTATTGTAAAGTGGCGCAATGATGCTGGTCGGAGGCTGCGGAACAATTCCACTCTTCGTCGTACTAACAATCGCTGAAGTTGGTTCAGCCATCGACACGTGCTCTTCCGCAGACGGATATCCGACTACAGCCACTCTTTGAGGCTTTTCGCCTCTTTTTTCGATGGAATTCCGTAACAAGGTCCGAATATCTTGCCTGTCTTCCTATCAAAAGTTTATCAGTCCAAGTAATGAATGACTCCAACAGAACGTACCTCGGTCAGTACTTCGAGCGTATAAAAGTAACATTTCCCGTCTGTGATCTACCGACCTTAGATACTTCCAAAAGAGCTGTAGTCTCGATGTGCTTACAGTGACAAGATAATCATCATGCCCTGGATATCTCTCATCCAAAACCTTTTGCACATCCTGCTCATTCACTCCTTCCTCGAGAAATTCGGAGACATCAATGAAATACCAACGCGGTTGGGAACATAGTCCTGCTACCTCCATGCCTTGAAGCGACTGTCAATTTGGTGATGAGCGATCGGGTCTCGAGCTCAACCACGTATTTCTGAATGCAAGGGGCTCAACGACTTCGTTGCTTATTTTCGCCGTCTTCACGTAAACATATGTTGCTGCTGGTCCCAGGAAAGTCATGTAAGTTCGGCGTTGCGCGCTTGGGGCATTTACATCCAGCCCGGACTACAGCCACACGCCGAAGGCGAAACGCACGCCATGATAAGAATTATTTTGTTATCAACACCGTGGGGTGCATCTAAATTGCTGCATGACCACGTCCTATCAAACACAAGTCAATATCCAGCCTTGTCAGCCATACGCACACCGCCTGCGGCCTTTGCATGCTACTGCAGAACTTGGCTTGGGATTACGAGCGGGCACCAATCAATCTTCGCTGATGGATAGGACCTGCAAGACGTATGAAAGGTCAAATGGTTCGTGGGCTGAGCGGTGCAGCGTCTCACAGGCGCGCCTGGCCAGATCGCGGGGAGGCTGGATTCTAGAGCTTCAAGGCTGCGTCTTTCAGCTGGCTGGACCGCGATCGCGTGAAGGCTGTGGACGACGTAGACGAAGCCGTATGAGTGCCAGATGGTAGGTGAGCTCTGTAAGGACAGATTGCGAGTTGCATGGCGTACTGTGATGTGGTCAGGTCGTTGCTTCCCATCCGCTTCTGCTCCCAAACTCCGCTTGTTAGATGACGTCATCTGTAAAACCACCAGATGTAGTCCCGTGTGACTATCCTCTCAGGACATCGCTTGCGCATCTAACGACGAGCAATATCGCATCAAGGTGCTGATATATCACTGCAAGATGGTAACGTTCCAATGAACTCATGTTGTACAATCATACATACATCTCGCACCATCAGCCCTACGCCAGCAATGCTCTTCCTCCCGTATCGTCACCATCATCATCCCCATAATCATCATGCCTCATCCTTCTCAGTTATTCCTCTTACTCTTCTCCTTCCCCTTCTTCGCCTTCTTCCCTTTCCCCCCCTTCCCTTCCCCATCATCCTCGCTCGCCCTCTTCCCATTCCCCTTCCCATTCGCAGCCGGCTCCAACGCAGCATCCGTATCCTCATCCTTAACCAGCAACTCGTTGAGCGCATCGTTGAAGTTCTCCATCTCGCATATCTCGCCAATCTTGACGCGCATGTAGTCGAATGCAATGGCGACCTTCATATCCTTGTTGCGCACCTTGATGACGCGGGCGTTTTCTTGGAGCGAGGACGAGGTGTCTTTGGGGAGAGATGGGATGGGTTTTGCGGGGCCGGGAGCGGGGGCGGCGGTGGAAGAGGGGATGGAGGGGTGCATGTCCATGTTGTCTGCGTTTTCGGTTGTGGGGTCGACTTCGGCGTCGTCGTCTTCCATGGGCACGTCTTCGGCGACTTCTTGGGGGTTGAGAAGTGGGTCTGCTTCCTCGCCGTCTGTGACGGTTTGGAGTACGGGGATCTTTTGGTAGCGCTGGCTGAAATGCGTGAGGACGACGGATTTCGCGTTCATCGCCGCGCCGATACCGAGTGCTTCGGAGGTGGTGGAGTGTTTCTTGGCCTTTGCGTCGCCTTGTAGCTCGTCATCAAAAGTCGCTTCGTGGATGAGGACTGTGGTGTCTGCTCCGATCTTGGCGAAGTGACCGCTTGGTCTGCAATCGCCTGAGTAGCTGACCTTGAGTGGCTTGATTTGTTCAAGGTCTGCTGGATCGCGTGGGAATGTAATCGAAACAGCCATGGCACCGTGGCAATGCGCTACTCTGGAAGCTTGTATTTCGTTGAAACCAAACAGTTTCTCATACTGTTTTTTCGGTATGGCCGCGTTCTCAGATAGTGTCTTTCCGAACGAGTTCAGTATAGACAACCTCGAGCCATTCTGATATTCGTTGGGAGTGATTTGAAGAGGAAGAATTCGACTGTAGCCAAAGTCCTCGATGGCTGAGTATTCGTTAAGCCATTGGAGCATACCACTGTGGGATACGACAGCAAGACCGTATGCGCTAGGGTCTATGTTGCTCGCGGAAGGGTCCAGGGGCTGGGGGTTTGGAACAGCATTGTGTGCTACTTGGTACCAAGCACGAATTACTGATGCTGTGCCTAGGTGGTGATCGGCATGCAAGTGACTGATCCAGATCATACGCAGATTCTTGAAAATATCGACAAGCTCCTCGTGGGAAAAGACTCTTGAAAGCTGGCCCAATGTGTTCTCCCCGCAATCTAAGAGGTAGTTGCCGATGCCAGGAACACGCACCAATGTGGAAGACACGTTACGGTACTTGGACGGAAGGGCAGAACCTGTTCCGAGTGTCGTTACCTCGGTGTCACGACGCGCTAGTAGCTTACTCCATATCTGCATCTCTCTGCTTTTGCTTTTGACCTCCGCTTGAGCCTTTTGAGCCAATCCGAGAACCTCAGGCGGCGTTGTAAGTGCCACTTCATCGGGTACGAAGAGACTAGATATAGTGTTTTTCTTTGTGGCAAACTGCGGCATGAGATTGAAGCCAAAGCCTCGGTCAGCGCGGATGGCTCCGGAGGGCAACGGCGATGCTGTCGACATGCCAGTCCTGTATATACTTGTTTGCGGTACAGTAGTGTTATCGAAAACGGGTGTGCGATATCTTGACGGATCAATCTGCCCAAGTCGCGTAGCTTGTCCTGCTACCGAGTCGTGTGCGATGCGATTCGGCGCAGTATCTAGAGAGGATATTACGTGTTCTACGTTGTCAATCTTGTTCATGAAACTGAGTAGATCTGGGTGACCTGCGACGCCTGGACCAAGCATCCAAACGATAGCTCGAATGCCAGTCATAACCTCTGGAGAGCTAAGCTCTTCTCGTTGAAGAGTGCTTTCAATGTATGCAACTGAGGGGATGTCCAAGATGGCGATACCCTGACCGGGCCTATCAGCGCCCATGACCTGATCTGGGGTAATCATCTCGCCGTCCGCGTTCGGTACCGATATGCCATTGGTGAGCTTTCCGAAATCCGGTCCTGGTTTGACACCTAGCGCTTTCGCGCGTGCGACGTCGAATTGACCACGAGCTGAATGCGACCGCACGATGTACGAAACACACTCTGGTGCTGGCCTAGTCGGTGGTAGCGCCAGGATCATAGCGCCAGGCCACGGCGTCCTGGTCCAGACTTTAATGTCAGGAAGAGGCTCTTTGCCCCCTGGCATCGGCCCTTGGTAGGCCGAGAAGCCGTGTGTATCGGGGTTACGAATGAATATTTGAGCAGGCACTTGTACCTCAGAAATGTGGCGTTCTGCCAGTGTATCCATCTTCCAATTCGAATCGAACATGTACTTGATGGTCGCTGTCCGTATCCGGTCGTACCTCGACTCGCGGTCTTCCGGGCTCTCATTTTCGGGAGCCTGGAGTCCGTCAAATGTATTCTCGTGTTCATCGAAATACCGTCGCCGCGCCTCCAAATCAGCCTCCGCTTGCGCCTCGACTTCAGAGTTGACAGGCGCTACTGAGAGAGCCCAAACTTTGATATTGTCGTCCTCCCACGTCGGAATTATAGCACCATTGCCGTCCTTCTCGGGTGACTGTTTCACGTACTCGGTCGCATTGATGGGTATGCCCTTCCTGAATATGAACCTCCGACATGTTGCCAGTGTATGTTTCAGATTGGGTGGCCCATATATGTCGAAGTGCGGCTTCGCGGGTGCTTCGCCTTTCTTTCCCCGCTCTTGAGCCAGACGAAAGGTATCCATGGCGGTGGTGTATGAGCTGGTGGTCGAGTCGGCCAATGTGAGCATCATGCCAATCAATCCACCCATGTTCTTCCACTCTGTCCTGCCTGTCATGAAGAAATCTTGCGCCTTCAGCAGACGTGTGCCCTGCTGCACCATCGCCCGCTGAGTGCCCTCTGCCAGGTTGCCGAAAACATAGTGCTTGCTTGCCGTCCGTAGCACGAGCGTTGTTCCCGGCGTATCGGCCGTAGGCGTTGTGACGACCTCAACGCTGCACGACATGTCTTTTCTTCTCAAGAACTCGGTTCTATTGAACTCCGCAGGAGGCTTTGTATGTTTGTTCTTGGGCTCGGAGAGTTCAAGGTTCGGCGGTTGCGTAAGGGAGCATGAGGCTGATCCGATTGGAGCTTTGGGGGGTTGGTATATC